AGTTCGAGCGGGGTGCTCCATGCTCCTGGAAGGGGCGGGGCCTCAGATGGAAGGGGCGGGGCTGAGGCTTTCAGTCTCCTCACAGCCACACAGAGCACACGGCATGGGACTTTGACGGTGATTTAAAGGGCCAGGTGCCCCAGTCACTTTGGCAGCTGGGAGCCCTGGGCCTCTTTGAATCACCCCTTTAAACTGTCCCCTCCCCCTGGCAGGGGAGGAGGGACACGTATGCAAACCACTGTAGGCGGCCAAAAGCCAGATATCGTCTTGCCTGGGGCTGCTAATTAGGCAGGTTTGGTTGCCCAGGACGAGCCCAGAAGGTTGTGGTGCAGGCAGCCATGAGACAGGGGCCATTTTGTGTTTCTGCTCAGATGCAGAACGTGGCAGGGCCAGTCACACACACACTGGGCTCTCGCTCCCTCTCCTGGCAACTTTACATTTGTTCTTCCTTTGTCTGTTGTTTTCTTTAAATCTGGAATAAAAAGGCACCGGAGTGTGAAAAACCCTCTTTTGCTCTTTGCTTCTGGGAAGGACCAAGATGAAGCCGTGAGGATGGGACTGTCAGATGACAAGGAGCCCTCAGAAAGGTGGAATGGACCCTTACAGGGAAGTGGAAAGGCTCCGGCTTCATGAATCCAAGCCAAATCTGGGAGCATGTGACTTGTAGCTTTGAACAGAAATTTCATGCAAATGCCGCAACAGCAAAAGATCCCACAAGAACAAAGAAAACGGCAGAAGGATATTGACCAGTTTAAAGACGTATGCAGAAACGAGAAGAGATGAAGCATGAGGGGTGCTGCTGGTTCATAAGCAGTTGTCCCACTCTGGGAAAGTATCGATATTCAGGAGAGCACTTAAGCACCCACTTAAGCCCCAGTGCAGCTTATGGGCATTAAAGCCAGATTTGACAGGCAGTGTTACCCAGTGGGCAGTGCCCTGACTAGGTCTCAGGAGATCAGAGTTCTGCTACCAGCTCTGCCACAAGTCTTCTAGGGGACCGCTCTGAGCCTCAGTTTTCCCTTCTGTAAAATGGGGATAAAGGCCTCCTTAGTAGTGTGCTGTGAAACGCTCTAGATAAGAGCTATGTATTATTGCTATTAAAGCTAGCTAAGTGTGTTAAGCACTTTCCTGAAGCGAGGCCATATACCAAAGACTCTCTGCGATGGACTTGGGTTGTGATAACTAAGTTTGGGTTGTTTGTCAGCCACACAATGTGGAAGCCACAGGAGAATTAGACTGTTCTGACTGGACTTGTTACCAAATGAACCGCTGTGTTCTCCTCTTTCTCCCATGGAGACTTCATATTTGCGCTTTGTTGTTTTTCCTTCGTCTGAAATAAAAGCTACACTAATGGAGCAGCACCTGGTCTGCTGTTTGTGGTTGGGGATGTTTTAATGTGGCGATCCAAGCCCTCTCGGAAGCAGTGGTTGGGATCTGGCAGATCCCTTCCCTGGTCTACACCAGGAGATAAGTTGGAATTGAGAGACACAACTTCAGCCACGTTAATTGCATAGCTTAAGTCGAAGTATCTTAACTTGACTTTTGGCACCATCCACACTGCGGGGAGTCAGAGGGTGCAAACTCTCTCTTCAACTCCCCTTACTCCTCATAGGAACAGGACGACCGGCATTGACGGGAGCCCCCTCTCAGTTCAAATTAATGTGTCTTCACTAGATCTGCTTATTCAAACCTCGGAAGATCGACTGCGGCCACTTCGATCTTGTCAGTAGGGTAGACACGGCCCCTGTGACCTCTGCTAGTTTGGTTTAATTGTAAGTCTGTGGTTTTACCAGTAAATGGAGAGTTGTATCTGAGAGCTGGGAGCAATTTCTCAAATCTTGATTTTAAAAAATTCACACACACAAAATAGGTGTTTGGTTTTGACATTTCTCCCTATTTTGAAGCAAGTGTAGTGTTGAAAATTTTTAAGTGTCTACAAAAGCGTGAAGATTCTAAATAACTTTTTTAAGTTTCACAAAAATGGGAAAGAAGTGAAGAAATGTGCATATTTTTCCCTTGTTAAAAAAATCTACCCCCTCCCCCACTTGCCAATATTTTAGGGCTGCTAAATTAACAATTTAAAATTCTTTTCTTTTACTAAAACCAAAAGTTCCACACACCTCTTATGCATTCTTCAGTCACTTAGTTTTCATCCCTCAGTATCCCAAAATTTTCACAAAATGATGGACAATATTTAGAGAGATTTTTGTCGCCTATCATTGTAATGCAGCCACCTCTGGAGGGGAGCATGGCAGCTGTTTAATATTTCATAGCAGCACGGCACTGGGCTCCCTCGCACAGCTCATGGCCACATGTTAGCAGCAAGCAGCAGCTTCCCAATGGCAAGTTAGCGCAGGAGCTGAAAATAAGTTCAACGACCATGAATCAGAACTAGCAGGCTGCCTGCCATCAGCTGTCCTGTCATTCCCTGGGTGAGAGGAGAGGGCTTGTCTTCCCCAGCCCTCTGATGTTACCCTACCGCAGGCATGAAGGCTGAGCCCTGTGTCACAATGCCACTGTCCCCTCCCCTCTCCTTCC